GGAGGCAGTGACAGATTTTACTTTTTTGGGTTTCATGATCACTGCAGATGGAGACAGCAGCCACGAAATTAAAAGACACCTGCTTCTTGGGAGGAAAGCGATGACAAACATAGACAGCATCTTAAAAAGCAGAGACATCAGCTTGCAGACAAAGGTCCGCATAGTCAAAGCTATGGTTTGTCCAGTAGCAATGTATGGAAGTGAGAGCTGGACCATAAAGAAGGCTGACTGCTGAAGAATTGATGCTTTTGAATTGTGGTGCTGGAGGAGGCTCTTGAGAGTCCCCTGGACTGCAAGGAGAACAAACCTATTCATTCTGAAGGAAATCAACCCTGAGTGCTCACTGGAAGGATAGATCCTGAAGCTGAGGCTCCAATACTTTGGCCATCTGATGAGAAGAGAAGACTCCCTGGAAATGTACCCTGATGTTGGGAAAGAGTGAAGGCAAGAGGAGAAGGGGACGACAGAGGACGACAAGATGGGTGGACAGTGTCATCACAGCTACCAACATGAGTTTGACACATGAGTTTGACCCAACTCTGGGAGGCAGTGGAAGACAAGAGGGCCTGGCGTGCTCTGGTCCATTGGGGTCATGAAGAGTCAGACATGACTGAACAACTAAGTAGTAGTAGTAGTATGTTCATTATAGTGTTGGTTTCTGCTAACTGAAAACCACTCTGAGGCTAAGCAGGACTGGAAATCAAGATATAGGTGCTTAGATTATCTACGATTGCCCATGGTACCTCAAACTCTACTAGCTGAGGCATGTATAGCAACTTACAATATTAAATGAAAGGGTTAGTCTTAAACATTTCTCATTAATCACGTAATACAATGAAGCAAATACAGTACAGTAGTTGAAATTGAGCAACTAGTTGCCAGGAACGTATATGCAAAGTGAATAATAGTGTGTTAAAACGAATAACATCTGTTATCTTGGACCACACCACAGTGAGGCAACAAGATCTATCAATAGGAGGTGGAATTAATGTGACAGTTTCCCTCCAGGACAAATTGTCTGACGTGACTTGGAGATTTTATTGACTTCTTCAGGAGCTTGTGTCTTGCCCCACTTGTTTTGAGTCATCTGGACGAGAAATTTGCTTTGTAGGCAGGTTACTGCTTTTTGTGACCTTGCTGCAGCTAATTTATTATTTAACTTATTTTTAACCTGTCTTTCTCCTTAAAAAGGACCCAAGGTGGCTTAAAACAATTAAAAGACAATATTCAAGCTAGCAACACAGAGTACACAAATACTAAAAAGGATCAAACAAATACGATATTTAAAAAACGTAACATCAAAATATATTCAATGCAGTAAGATAAGACGGCCTCTGAGTGTATCCCCTTGAGTCACTGGGGGAGCTGGGAGACCAGGCCACAACCTGTTCTTTGAAATCTAATGTGGTCCCTCAGCTTTCTGTGCTGTTCCAACCCAAATCAGCAAAAACTGACAGGAATGTGTGTGTTTACTCAAAAATCTTCCTATTTATTCAAATTTTATTTCTTTTGGATTGCCTAGCCTTACTATTATTATCTTTATTATTATTAAAGAAAATTGACATGCACTGGTTATAAACAAAAATAAATAACAATATAGCACCAAAAGAAAAGGCATTCATAAATAACAAAGCTGCAGAAAAAGCATAAAATGGCCTGTGCCAGTAAGTCAATACTGACTTATGATAGCCATTTCAGTGTTTCCCAGGTAGAGAATACTCAGAAGTGGCTTATCATTCCCTTCTTCTGGGGGCGTCCTGGGATTGTGTAGCTTGCCCAGGGCCATACCTAACCCACTGAGCTATCCAGCCAGCTTTCAAGCCTTAACAAACAAACAAACAAAAAAGCTGTAGCCTAAGGTAAAGATGTCTTACAACCATGGTGTAGTCCATGAAATTTTGTTGTGTTTCTTTCTTCCCTCATTCCAGTGCACAAGCTGCCCTTAACTTAGTGCTTGAAACTTAGCAAATTTAACTGCCTGATAAACTGCCTGAGAGTGTTCCCGAGCTGGGTACTACCCCAAATTGATTGTTAAAACATGAAAGAGAGGGCAGTGATGGACCATTGAACAGAGAGCAATGGAGGTCCCAATGACAATGCCATGAATATCTGAAGAATATGGGGATCTATTTCTGCACAGGTGCAGGATGAGTGATGTTCAACGAAGCAGGAATGAAGACTGCAATCAGGATCATTGTACCTGCACACCAGGAACACATCATAATGGAAAAATGTTTGATGGGTGTAGATGTGAATTAGGCCTCAAGGTATACTAAAAATATAAGAGTTAAAACTGAAATGAGAGGAAAAGTCATTAATGTTTGATTCTTGTTCCAACAGATATGAAGAAGAGATCAACCGACGTACATCAGCTGAGAATGAGTTTGTTATGCTTAAAAAGGTGAGCTGGCAGGTTCCCAAAATTGCAAGCCTAATGTGTTGTGGTGCTGGAGGAGACTCTTGAGAATCCCCTGGACTGCAAAGGGAACAAAGCTATCCATTTTGAAGGAAATCAACCTTGAGTGCTCACTGGAAGGACAGATCCTGAAGCTGAGGCTCCAATACTTTGGCCATCTCATGAGAAGACTCCCTGGAAAAGATCCTGATGTTGGGAAAATGTGAGGGCAACAGACGAAGGGGACAACAGAGGATGAGATGGTTGGACAATGTCATTGAAGCGACTAACATGAATTTGACCCAATTCTGGGAGGCAGTGGAAGACAGGAGGGCCTGGCGTGCTCTGGTCCATGGGGTCATGAAGAGTCGGACATGACTTAACGACTAAACAACAACTACAATATGTTAATTAGGATTGACCCAAGATTGTCTTCTGAAAGATTCTGGGAGATTTTTGAGATCCATATGGATGTCGACTAACTTACTGAAACTTCTTGTGGTGTGTTTCATGCTCCAACAAAGAATGTATCCAGCTGGAGGTCTCCTCACACTCACCTCATGCAAAGATGGCTTGAGACCAGGGTGTGGTCCCTGAAATGTTGGAGTGAAATTACTACAGACCATCCCTGTCTTCTCCTTAGCAATTTTTTTTTTTGCAGTATGGGGGGGAAAGGCAAGTGAAGGTTATCACTAATGGATATTGTGAGGGTAATGATGGAAGAAGTTACATTTATCATGGGAAAATATAAGCAAGTGAGTGTTATTAAGGGAGGACAGTGGTATCTGCCCCTGCCCTCATTTAGTAAATGAGACAACACAATCATGTGGTAAACTTTTTGTCTGAATTTGCTCTGTAATAACAACCTGCACTCAAAACCTGTGACCGTTCTGAAGCGCACATTTGCAGTCATATCATTCAGGGAAGTGGACAGCGTAGTCCTTCCTTCTCCAGTGCATTCAGACCACATGTGTATAGATTCTTCTGAGTGACCAAGTGGTTAGCAACTAGAACTCAGTTGGTGAAATCTGCCACCGGTCTCCTATTTGTTAACCTAAGAGGCATGGAGGAACTGGTGTCAGTAGCAATTGAACTCATTCTCAAGCTATTTTCTTGGGTAATTCTTGAAGCAGTGGTCCACTCGCTTCCTACTTACTGCTCTCGGAAACCTATCTGTGACTAGAGACATCAAGGGTTAAAATGGGCCAGTCACATAGACCTGTCTTTTTTGCTTCCATATATTAGTGTCTGTTCTTCTTTTGCTAATTAAATTGATCTTTTAAAGTTAAAGATGCCGCCAAACAACAACAAATTATGTTAAAACACATTCGTGTTTGTCTTGAATATGTTGTTTGCCTCATGGTGGTCTTCAATGAGTTTCAGAGCAATAGCTTTCACCCAATCAAATCTGTAGGTATCTGTTTCTTTCTTTTGTTTTAGGATGTGGATGCAGCCTACATGAACAAGGTGGAGCTGGAAGCCAAAGTTGATTCCCTGATGGATGAGCTCAACTTCCTGAGGGCTCTCTATGAAGCGGTATTCAGTCTTCTTAACAGTTCGGAGGAAATTAAACACAGTTTCAATCCTGGGCAGGCTTAGAACACAAACCAAGATCTGGAATGCTATGGCAGAATAATTACAGGATTCCAGTTGAGAGCTAAGACACTTGAATTATGGCTTCCATCTTTTTAATCTTATCCCACATTGCAGTATATTTTTGAAGGCCAAATGTTTTCAGGCCTGCCATTCTCATCCCCATCTTGTAGGATCTAACCTTTTTTACTGAGACCAATTCTTAGAAGACGCATAGCAAAGAAACTGGATAGGAACTAGTTTATTTCCCTCTTCCTCCATTGAGACTTGATGTGTAGGTTTGGGGATTATCAGCTTTGGAACGGGATGCTTCACAACATCGCCCTAGCAAGACTTAAATGTTAAGTTTTCAACTGACATTTCAAACTCGAAAACAATTGAAGAAAAACCCCAACCCTACGGTCCTGTGCTAATTCTGAATTTTTAATATGTCAGAATACTCATCCTATGTCATACAGCTCTCTATGAAGCTAAACATTTTACAAACCTTGGCATGGTTAGAGACCCTAAAAGTCTGGTCCTGCCCTCACACCACACCCCCATCCCCAAACTGAGGGTAAATTTGAAATATTATTTTATCTGGGCTTGTTTTTGTTTGTGTTTGCATCTGTCTCAGGAATTGGCTCAGCTGCAGGCACAAATGTCTGACACGGCTGTCATCCTCTCCATGGATAATAATCGAGACTTGGATCTGAACAGTCTTGTCTCTGAGGTGAAGGCGCAGTATGAGGACATTGCCAACAGGAGCCGAGCTGAAGCTGAGACATGGTACCAAACGAAGGTGAGTCATTTGTTCCACCAGCCACGGTGGCGTGGAAAATAAGAACATAAATCCTTTTTCTTTTCTTTTCTTACCCTTCTGGAGTGTGAGGTACTACACGCAGTTTCATCATGAGAGGGGAAAAAAGAGGTAATGGGGGGAGGAGGCAAGTTCAGAAAAAATTGACAAATGACATTTTAATACAAAACAGCCTCTCTGAAAGATGCCCCCCAAGCTTTCAGGAGCAACTTGTGCAGGGCTTCAAGGGCTGAGGTGGAAAGGGAGCATCCTTTCCACGAAACACCACATGTAACCTTGTGGATCCTGTCAAAACCTCAGATTTAAGTCTTCTCTAAAATACAAGTCATTGGATTCAAGTTTTGAAAGTTTGCCATTTCTTTGTATGTGAGATGGTGGTAAGTAAAAGAGGGACAGCAAGAGAATGAAAGATTTCTTCTCTAAAAACATCCATTACTCTTCTCTTAAACAAGGGCTACACTAGATGGGAAGAAAAAATGATTCATGCCTGTGGAGGATTCCCTCCCAGTGCAAATAGCATCTTCGCTATAGAGCTTTTTATGCAGGAGCGACAGCCAGGGTGGAAAGAGTTGAACTCATTGTCCTCACCAACTGTGATTCTAGTAATGATGACTACAGAGGTACACATGCCAGAGAATTATATAAATACATATGTGTTAAATGCAAAGACCCATTGAACTTTTCAAGATCACAATCTAGCAGAGGCTCCTGGCAAAATGAATCCTTCATCTGTCCTCTCCCTGTTTATTTTTGTAGTTTGAGGAACTCCAAGCTACTGCAGGGAAGCATGGCGACGATTTGCGTAATACTAAAGGAGAGATATCAGAGCTCAATCGGATGATTCAGAGGATACGGTCAGAGATAGAAAATGCCAGGAACCAGGTAAGAAAATCTATTGCTGACACTGTGTTATTTCTTAACATAGTGCAACCACACCTTAATTTAAAGAGTATCCATTAGTTAGGGTTCATCTGGGAAAAAAACACCTGCATTTGCCACCAGTGACATGCCTTAATTGATGGGCAGTGGGTGATGAGGACTTGTCGTTCCTGCTTTTGGTTGGCAATCTCAGTTTGGTGTACAATCTGAAATGATAGGGCAGTCCAACAAGCAGTACCAGGAACCTGCATAAACGGTGTAGGAATGTTTCCCACAGTCTTTGGGGATGAGCAAGAATTTAGCAGCCAGCAAACAAGCTGATGGGCAAAAAGGTACCCAGGAAGCAGGAGATCGGCAAACCACTGGATTAGATCAAATGGGGGGGGGAACAGGGGAAAGGGGAGAAGAAAGAAAAGAAAACAAGCTGTAGGCCAAAATGCGAAATCCTATGCATGCAGGTGTAGAAAATCCCACCGAGCTCAATGCCTCCTAAATATATCTAGTAAAAAAGTAAATAAACACACGGTAGAGACAACAGCAGTAATAATGACAGTAGAAATATGAATGACTGATGGAAGGAAGCATGGGATCTAATTGTACTCTCTCTCCTATAGTGTGCCAATCTGCAAACTGCCATTGCGGATTCAGAAGAACGGGGTGAGTTGGCTCTCAAAGATGCCCGGGCCAAGCTCCTGGAGTTGGAGGAGGCTCTACAAAAAGCCAAGGAAGAAATGACCCGCCTCTTACGGGAATACCAGGAGCTGATGAATGTCAAACTGGCCCTGGATATTGAGATTGCCACCTATAGGAAGCTACTGGAAGGAGAAGAGAGCCGGTGAGCATCATAGAGCCAAGCAAGCCATGATTATAAGTTTGACACTCACAAAACCTGGGTGTTAAGGGTGACAAGACACAGGCCACATGTGGTCCACCTGCCCATTTTTGTGGCTCCACAGACATCACGTTTGCTGCCATGCCACTGAATTTCATCTGAAGTTTCATTTGGAAACTCAAATGCATCTGAATTTTCAGTGGTGTATGGGCAGCCAAATAGGCCACTATCTACCTTAAAGCAAGATGTGAACGGAGCTTTAAAACGGAGCTTTGAAAGTGAATTGCTCCTTTTGGATCATCAACCTTCAGAGCAGGAATTGGCCCCTGGTGGGCTGGGAAGCTTCCCACCACAGGAGGCTGCCCACCACTGCCTATCTGAAGGCTTCATACCATCTGGAGGACGTAAAGCCTATGACTCCACAACTAGACCAACAAATGCCCCCTCAGTAAAACTACATAATCTGATGTTAAATTGATTAGCAAGGAATTGAATGCCTTTTTCAAGAATGACATCTATAGTCATAAGCATATTTGGTCATGCTTACATCCTGTTGAATCTGGTCGTGTATGGCCTTCTGCAACTAAGGGTGCGGCTATATTGGAATCATTCTGATCATTCAGCTTTGCAGCAATTTGATTTGCAGCTTGTATTACATTTGAAATTGCAATCAGTGCTCAAACAGGGGCTGTGAATCAATTTGAGAGTATATCATTCATACTGTATGTGATGTGAGTTACATTTCAGCCCATAGTTCCTCTTCTTTCCTTCCATCTTCTGGTCCCGCCTCTGCTGATCCTTTTATGGCTTGCTGTGAAGCCGCTTTCTCATGAAAAGGTTCAGACTACATTTCTCAGAAACTTTTCTATAAAAAAATAACATGGAAAGGTACTTCACAGCTAAAGAGTAGAAAACATCAAAAGTCTGAACAGTCATTTTGCAAAATACATCACAATTCACATTCCAGAATGAGTCCATAACAAGGATCAATGCTTCCCCCTTCCCATGTGCACTTTCAAGCTACACATGTAGGAATTATTTCATATCTGGCCAGATGTGGTTTTAAATTACTGGCATGATTAACTGGTCCCCTTTCAGCCCTGTCAATTAAGTAATTAATAGCACTAAGCTTTTGCTCCACAACCGAAGGGCCTTCCCACATGATCTGAAGTTTACTATGTTTGATAGGACTGACACTGAATCTCCCATCTTACAATCATGGCACCCAAGCTCTGGCTCTGTAACCTGTTGCCTAAACAACTGAGCTATTTGACCATGTATTCATACTCTCAGTGCAATCCAGATTTGAACTAGAACTCCCATCCTCCTCAACTCATACAGCCAACGATGTACCACATTCACATTGATCAATAAACTTCTTGACACTTGACTTTAAATTCTTTTTTTCAACAGGCTCTATGGAGAGGGAGTCAACCCTGTGAGCATCTGTAAGTAACTTATCAGTTTTTTTACAGGGCAAACTTATATGTGTTTTCTCTGAAGGAAGTGCTGCTGAGTTCAGTGGGGCTTTACTCCCAGGAAAGACACTATAAGATTGTATTA